CTTTCTGGAAGCTGTTTGTAATATAGGGCTGTTTCACCAGCTTTGAAATTATCACAATTGGCATATGCATAAATCAGTAGCGATAACCTGGCATGGATGTCGTTCACCGCAAACGGAAGGAGTCTCTTAGCCTCTATATCTGTCTGCTCAAGAGCGATCTTTGGAAGACTTGAAGTCGTCATCGTAATGCATTTTTGTGCTGGTTTAATCGTCTTCTTACAATCAACGCTCTCTACCATGAGGAATGCACCGAGCCTTTCCCTCATAGCGGTAAATCATGTCAAACTCTCCTCATTAATTACTTTCGTTGGTTTCCAGATGTTAGCTAGCCCCAGCGTTCACAAATTGTCCGATAGTCGTTCTGTTTTATGACATTGTAAACAGCTTTCCTGGAAATAGCAACTAACTCCCCTTGAGCTCCGAGTTGTACCCAGCTGATTCAGCATATCCTGATTCTCTCTGATCGATTGTTGCTTGTCCATTGTCACGTCAGGTGACACCGTCCTGTGGGTTATCGAATCAGTGAATACTGTCTTGTATGGGTCATACTGGATGAAACGTCATTAGCTGAATGTAACATTGCAGGTTGGTTGGTCAGTGGTCAACCCGTGTATCGGACCCAGTGAGTAAGTATCAGGAAGTGCGACATACTGAAGGGTGACGTTGCATGGTCACGATCTACAATATTACTCGTACGGTTGGTTTGGCTTTGCTACGAAATAGGAAAATGTTGGAAACGGCTACTTCCCATGGATGCGACATATCAGGAAATTGGCTGTTTACTGGTATGGTAATACTTCGAAGACCCTAGAATAATCATATTCTAAGAAGGACAAAGTCCAAATCTCATTTCCACCACTGTAGTTGAACAATACAGGTCGTCACAATAGATTGTTGAGCAACTTAAACAATGCTCCAGTGCACAAGCACAAACGAACACAATCTCCCCTCAATCCGTACAATCGCTTGTGGATTTATGTACTGACTAATATCGTTGAGCTATTTGCAACCGAGAGAGCCCGTTATTAAATCTACCCCTACTAGACGGAGCTGACGGTTTCTTTAGGGCTGAGGATCGGAATCACAATAGTCCATTTTGCGGTTAGCACACCAGTGCACGCTTTTGAACGCACCTACAGAGGGGCTTGTGAAATCATGTGATGCTAAATGGTTATTCTTTCTCGATTATTGGCGCTCACCATCAAATTACCCGACTAATCTGTCAAACGGCTGGGTCTGGTTGATTGAGTCATTAAAGAAGTCCTTGAAGCAGGTCGGACAGGCTTTGTTTGACTGGAATGCGACAATATGCATAGCCCGCTATTGGTACGGTGGACTAACTCAGATGATACTTGCTATATGAGCAAATATCTCAACCAGGAGAATACCATCAAGTTTGGCTACTCGAAGGAAACCTCGAAACTATGATTAACTTGGGTCGCGTGTTTATGCGCCAAAATAGGGATTGAACTTATGTGAACTGGGAGTGGTATTTCTGCTTTTCCGTTTCATGGGTAACACGGCTTAGTCTGCTACGAAGCTATCGAAGCTTATAATGCTTATGGGTAACGATCTCGGGTGGTAAAGAGAGGGTGAGCCATTTCGTATGCACCAACCGAGACATGTGCAAAATCGAGTACAAATGGAAATTTCCTACCAGCAAAACAACCTGATCCGCGAACGGTCACAACTAGAAAACAGTTCGTCAAGTTTTTCTTGTCCGAAAACCCCTACAAGTTATCCGAGGTTTCCAGAATACTAGGGTGTTCTTAAGGATCTCTGTGTGTAGGTAGAGTTTAAATTCGTCTCCTCCAGCTCATCCTCCATGGATGTATACATAAATTCCCTACGATGGAGGACCAGACTTGTGATCTTACTTGGTTTTCTGTTGTTGTTTTTTGCGGTGAAATCTAGTGCAGATACATCAGCCCATCCATTGATATCTTTCACTGCGGTGTAGCGGCGGATAATATATTTTTTAAAGAATTCTTCGCCGTTTTCGTTCTGATCACGTATTGTTTACAGCTGATATTTGACAGTCCCTCACGATTGTTCATTGTTTCATCAACCCTACGTGATAGGACCCTTCCGATATTCAGTCTGACACAGGCTCCGAATTCCAATCACTCCGACTTCCTACGCTGAAGGATTTCATATTTCTCAAAGTATTAGGCAAAGGAAGTTTTGGCAAAGTGATGCTCGCGGAACAAAAAGCCACGGGTGAAGTATTCGCTGTGAAAGTGCTGAAGAAAGAGGTCATTCTACAGGACGAAGATGTCGAGTGCACGCTGACTGAAAGACGTATCTTGGTCCTCGCCGCACATCATCCATTCCTAACCGCCCTCTATTGTGCCTTTCAAACAGAGGTTAGTTGTTGTGCCATGATTCAAATTATATTCCCCTTCCCGCTTTTTTTGTTCCTTGGTAATGCTTGTCAGTTTTTTTATGCACGAATCACGATGTGATGGAACACTGACTGCTCGGAGTGCCAAACCGTATAAGGAGCACGGGATATTATCAAAACTTTCAAACAAAAAAGTTCGTTGAGACTGGCGGGTACTGAATCATGCGGATTATTGGAACGCAGGAACAAAAATTTCACCCTCCGACGGAGCTTTGCTCCCCTAGGGTTGTCTATGTTGCCGATGGAAAGAAAGCCACCTAGGTAGTTAACCGTGAGTAGATGGTCAGTGCTTATTGAAAAATGCGGTTATGAACGACTAATGGTAATGCCCGAGCAATTGGTTAATTTTTCCCCCTGGTAAACTATTTTTCGGTAACAAAAAACTATCACTGTCATCATCGGTCTACTGCGCTACAAGTAGCATGACCTATAGTTGCCCACTCACAGAAGGACGAGTGGAACTTAAAATACCGCTTTGCATCATGTTTCAGGAAATCTTCACTGATTCAATCATGAAACAGACCGATCCTCATGTATGAAAAGTCTCCGAAAAGTGGGTATAAGGAGTATCCTCTGGCTATCAAGGCCTAATCATTTGTGGATGACGAGTCTTGTTTGTTCTCCTCTTGGAATAGTTGATGCGCCTCTGTAACTTTGACGGCTCGTGTAGTTGCTGTTCACTCGGGTTGATTGTGCTATCCCTAGTGAAGGTGTAAAAATATATCTATGGTTATATTCTCGATACAAACGTGACAGTTCTCTTTCTGTGAGCGCATTTGATTGTACGAAGCCTAAACGCATCACTTGATACAAAAATCATCATTCTATTCGTGGACTCTGAAGCCGATTCAGGACTTAAAGAAGAGTTTATACTTGGTTTGGCTTGAAATTTAACGAGTACCGCAGACCCATCGTTCTCCCGTCTTCGACTTCTATGATAGCATGTTTGTTTGCTTTGCATAACACGTGACCGGTTTGGCTACTCATGCTCACGCCCACTCTTTAATCCGATCAATTTCACAGGATCGGTTGTTCTTTGTCATGGAATACGTAAATGGCGGAGATCTGATGTTCCAAATCCAGCGTGCTCGTCGGTTCGATGAAGCTCGAGCGCGGTTCTACTCTGCCGAAGTTACTCTGGCCCTCATGTTTTTACATCAACATCATATTGTCTATCGGGATTTGAAGTTAGACAACATCCTCTTAGATGCGGAAGGACACTGTAAGCTCGCGGATTTCGGCATGTGCAAAGAGGGCATGACTCCGGGAAAAACGACATCCACATTTTGCGGCACACCAGACTATATCGCTCCAGAGGTACCGTTTCTCTCCCCCCCCCATCC